ATCTGGAGGATATAAAGTAACAAAATATGAGATTAATACCCAAGAATAGCTGAGATCAGCACCAGGAGGATTACTCCATAACTTAGAGGCCAGCCGGGTATCCTAGAAGAAAGGGCAGTTCAGATAGAGAAGGGAGCACCAAATAAAGGGTGTTTGGACGATCCTCCCAGGAGGGGAGATGCATGTCGAATGTAGACTATGGACTGAACATGTTTGCCACTCAATGCCTCTTTTGCAGACCACAACACCCAAAAGGAGAGAGAGAGCACAGGGGATTGCCCTGCCACAGAGGCGGGGGGGATGGGGGGATGGGAGTGGGGGGGATATTATCCATGGTGGTGGAAAATGGGCACTGGTGGAGGGATGGGTATCTGATCATTGTATAATCGAAACCCAAGCACAAAAAATTGTAAATCTACAACTGTACCTCATGGTGTTTCACTAATAAAAAAAAAAAGACTATTTGTCCATGACACCATTCCTAAAGTTAAAAATACAAACATAAACAAAAAAACTACTATTCTGGAGCGATAGCACAGTGGGTAGGGCGTTTGCCTTGCACGCAGCTGAACCCGGGTTCGATTCCTCAGTCCCTCTCGGAAAGCCCGGCAAGCTACTGAGAGTATCCCGCCCACATGGCAGAGCTGGGAAGCTCCCCGTGGCATATTCAATATGCCAAAAACAGTAACAAGTCTCACAATGGAGGTGTTACTGGTGCCCGCTCGAGCAAATAGATGAACAACAGGAGGACAGTGCTATAGTGATCCTTATAAATATTTATAGAGAAATATCTAAATTCTAGGAGTTATGAATATAATTGGGAGCAGATAGAAATTCAAAATTTACAGGTGTAAAGAATGATAAAACCATTTTTAAGAGTATCCATGCATACCTCGGGAATAATGAACTATTTTTAAACTTACTCAGCAAAAAAATTAAAAAATGTTTTAAAAAGCACACTATACTGACAGTCATAAAAAATGAAATGTCAAAGAAATGTGGGGCACAATGATGAGATTAAAAAGTTTGAAAGAGAGGCCTGATCAATAGTAAAATGGGCAGGGTGTTTGCCTTGCACTAGCAAACCCAGGGATCCTGGCACTCCATGTGGTACCTCAAGCCTGCCTGGAGTGAGCCCTGAGCACCACTGGGTGTGGCCCAAAACATAAACAAAACAAAAAAAAAGAGTATGAAAGAAATAGCATGTGTCAATCCAAGGGAAATCAAAATGTTTGAAGAAATATGTGCTTAAAAATATTTAAGAAGAGAAATACAGTATGCCTCTACAAAGAACATCACTTCTACTTAGTCACTCTTCACTTAACGTTTATTGCAGATTTTTGTATCTACCATTCCTTTTTATACTAACCAAAATACATCAACTTGGAGCCTTTTCTCAGTCCTTATGTTAGGAGGCAACAGACATTACTGACCAATCACTTTCCCGAAACGAAACAAGGCCAATTCTAGTCTTTCACTTCTACCTACTTTTTCAATGTAAAATCATTCTATTTCTTACCCATAACATGGCACATTCATTTCTCACATCTCTGAACTTGGACAGATTTCCTGTTTTGTTCGTAGTCATCCTCCTAACTTCAAATAGCAGCTATCTGCGTTTAACTTTTTGACAACTTGCAGATGTCAATAAATTAAAGAGAAATCCTCTCTTTAAGAGCTAAAATAACTTGTTTCATTTTTCAGCTAACTTCATTTTCACTGTATAGCTATAATGTGCCAACCACTAGTTTAGAAATGCATTCAACACTTATCATCAAAATGTTGAGAATCTTCATGGCAGACCAAGAATTCTACAGATCCAAAATGGAATACTTCCTCTTCAGTCAAGTTAGACATTTGTTAATAGATCCTGAATACTCATTACTTATCACGTTAATTTTTAATCCTTTCTTAATTCATATTTAATCTGTTTTCAAATAAATCTGGTTCTTTTTTTCTGCCAAACTGCAACCACCACCTTCTAAAATGTTTTCTAGTTTACATGATAAATTCTAAACTGAATTAACAAATTATCTTTCCAAAACCACAAATGTGATCTACACTTAACTACACAAATATGTATAGTAATTCTTTCACAGACAAGACCAAAAACTTCTTCAGCTTGACAAATACCCTTAATAGCAGGTCTTCATTAATATATTTTCTTCTGTCACCTGCTCCTCTATTTAATTAGATTCTAAAACTCCTTGAGTATTCCTCTCAATCTTAATTATGTCATTTGCCACTTCCCATTCTGTTTTGTTTTGTTTTTTTTATTTTGTTTTTGTTTTGTTCTTGGGCCACACCTGGCAGTGCTCAGGTCTTATTCCTGTTCTGCACTTACAGCTCACTCCTAATTAGACTCAGGAGACCATATGGGATGACAGTGATAAAACCTGGGTCAGCTGCATGCAAGACTGTACTATAGCTCCCACACCCTCACATACCATTCTGCTTAATAATCTCCATTCATTTCTATCTTTCAGAAGTTTAACCAACTTCAGGTTCAAATAACAATTTTTCTAAAACCTTTTCCATCCTGTGATAGGTATTTTCATATCACTTATACTCTGTTTGTATAGAGTCACTTACCTGACTATATCATATCCTTACCATCGAGATATAAGCAACTCAAAATATTAATGTTACCTTTATCTTTACCCTCCCACAGTAGACAACATATAGTTGATATTCATTAAATAAACCCTGTGTTTATGACAGAATGTGAGTGTATATCAATAGTCCATAAGATTATATAGGCTTAGAGGAAAATCACTGCCTTGAAACTATAGTTTTCATTTGTTTGTTTTTCAGGCCACACCCAGAGGTGCTCACTCCTGGCTCTGAACCCATGAATCACCTCTGGTGGGGCTCAGGGACCATATATGGTGCTAGGGAATCAACTGTGGTCTGCCTTGTGCAAGTTAGTACCTTCTTTAATACTGATCAAGCCCCAGAACATAGTTCTTAAAAATAACTTCATTTCTCTTGTATGCTGTATGCTGCAAACCAGATCTGATACCAGATCCATAAAGTCCCCTAAACACCACTAGGAGCAACTCAAAAGCAAAGAACCAGCAGAAGCCCCCCACAAAAACAAAACATAGTAATTTTATTCATTCAAAAAACAAATCAAAAGGCTTTATACACTATTAATACTCTACTTATTTCTATATGAATTGTCTATATAAACTTTCTTAGCTCAGAAAAAAAACTGTTTTCTAGGATTTCAAAATCAGTAACAAGTCTCACAATCTGTTGTGAGATGTTACTGGTGCCCGCTGGAGCAAATCAATGAATGGGAGGACCGTGACTGTGACCATGATCACTATTATTATAACTTCTGATAACACACTTGTCCAAATCCCAGACCTCTGAGAACAAAATGATTCAAGATTTAGCCAATATCTACAATGTGGAAAGTACATTTAAAAAGTAAGATATTTTCATCTTCCGGAGTGTACGGCTAAATGTACCAAACACATATAAACAACTGCATTATAAGGCCAATTATGTAAGTGCAAAGAGCTTCCATGAAGGTAGAATGCTAGAGCAAAGATTCATTTAATCACAGTATTTGAAAAGGTTCGAATGAAGTATGAGTTATCTGACTACTTTTTAAACTCAAGCAATAAGATTATTTGAATGGAGTAACTAAAATATTTTACTGGAGCGATAGCACAGCGGTAGGGCGTTTGCCTTGCACGCAGCCAGCATGGCCCATTTGAGTTCGATTCCTTCGCCCCTCTCGGAGAGCCCGGCAAGATACAGAGAGTATCTCGCCCCCAAGGCAGGGCCTGGCAAGCTCCCCGTGATGTATTCCATATGCCAAACACAGTAACAACAAAGTCTCCATGGAGACGTTACAGGGCCCGCTGGAGCAAATCGATGATCAACGGGAGGGCCTTTACTAATATTAAAATAGAATTATATTTTCTTCGCTAAAATAGCACAGCTTTAACACAGCAGTTAAAACTGTTGCTAAACATATATTAAACTTGATACAGAGAAATGTTATTCTAGCTGTCCAACCAAAGGTCTGTAATTAAAAATGTTCTATGTTCAGGGGAAAGACAAATGCATCCAACAATCTGAATTAATATTTAAAATTCTACTTCTAATTGGTACAAAAATGTGCTTAAATACCAATAATGCATTAAGGGGGAAAAAACTGAATAGCTGAAAACAAAAGTTGGGGGTCCTGGGCTCAATTTGCATTCGTGCCACCCTACCCTGCGAATCTGTCTTCCCGGAAGCCAGGTAAGAACTTGAGCTGAGGCTTTTGCAGCCAGCATGGAGGACTTGGAAGATTTCAGTAACCGAGACTTAACTTCGGAGTGGACCCGAGTGCTGACAGGTGAAAGGCCCACACGCAAGTTCCACGTGACACGTGCAGGAGGATGGGAAAGTTTGGGCTGGCAAAATTCCAAAGGTGCATTCTGCTGGGGAAATCAGACGGGTGGACGCCAAGATATGCCAATTTGCACGAGTATAAGAAAACAAGGAATCCCTTCTTTTAATTCCATTCTGGAACCATCATGCTTTAGTGAAAACGACTGGGTTTTCCCACGGGGCGGGGGAAGAGCTTCAGAAAACAAGTGCTGTCACCGGCTCCCGGAAGCGTCGCCGGAGGAGCACAAAGGCACGCGCCGGCTCCACCAAGCAGGCCCGGAGCCCAGGGGCAGCTGCCAGGCGCCGCGTCCCGGCTGCCGCCGCGACGGGGCGAGCTCGGCCCGCGCGTGTCGCCCGCGGCCTCCCCCGCAGTCTGCGGCGACGGGGCCGGGCAAGCGGGCCCGGCTGGGCCGAGCGCGTCGCTGCGGGGCGGCAGGGCCGGGCGCGCTCCCGTCGCCCGGGCGGGCGGGGCCGGGCGAGGTCGCCGAAGGCGCTGGGAGACCCGCGCGCCCGCCGCCCGCACCAAGCCCCCCGCGCGCCCCCGAGGAAGGGCCTCCCGGAGCCTCCGGCCGGCAGCAGCCCCGGGATGCGGGGGAAGCGCCACTCACCCATGCTCTCTGCAGACGCGGAGGACCCCGGCGCGCGAAACGCAGTTCCCCGGCGCGGGCTGCTCGGCCGCCTCCCTCCAGCCGCGACTCTTCCGCAGCCTGCGGGGTCCCGCGGGGCGGGGGCGAGGGTACGGGGCTGCGGCGGGCGTCTGCGTCTGCGTCGGCGGCGCCTGCTGCTGCTGCTGCGGCTGCGGCTGCGGCTGCGGCTGCTGCGGGCGGCGCCACCGCGGCTGACAGGCGGGGCGGCGCGGCGTGGGGCGGGCGGGCGGGGCGGGGCGGGGCGGGCGCGGCGCGCGACTGGCGGCGGGGCGAGTGCCCGGCGGCGCGGGCGGGCGACGGAAGCGCCGGACGGGCCGAGGTGCGTCTGCCCTGCGTCGCCGCCGAGCGCCCGCCTCCGCCGCGCGCATGCGTAGTCCCCGTGCGCCGTGCCGCGGTGCGTGGGCGGCGCCCGGGTCCGACCGCGCCGCCGGGGCCCGCCGGCCTGGGGCGGTCGGCGGCGTCGCTCGCGGGGTCCGGGCTGCCGCGAGCTGGGCTCGGGCGCGGGAGACGCCGGCAAGTCCCCGGGTCGGTCGCGGGAGTCGCGCTGTGCGGGTGGGCTGCGGCGGCCGGGGGGCGAGCCGCGGGGAGCCCCGTTGGCCCACGGACGAGCGGGCCGGTGCGTCCCCGGTCCCGGAAGTGTGGACCCCCGAGCTCGCCTGATGGCTCCTCCGAACCGTCCTCGCTAGGGACTGCTGCTCAGCGTCTAGCCGGGAACCCGTGCCCGGTGCTGAGCCCCAACTCCACCTTGCGACCTGGGGGAGACCTTGTCATCTCTGCGGTACTCGCTCTGGACCCCCGAGAAACCCGCACTGCCCCGCGCCTTCTGTGACCCTCAGCCCCAGGGGGGTCCTGGCCGCTCACCAGGAGCAGACTAAGGATGGGGCCTGCAGGGCTTCTCGAGCCTGGCGTCTGGCAGTGCTCAGGGTCATGGGGCCTGCGTGTGCACGTCAAGGACTGAGCCCGGGGCCCCAGTGAAACAAGTGACGGACGTGAATCACGAAGACGGTTCAGTTCATTTCAAAACATCGAGAGTCACCACAGTGATACTCACTGCTGCCCGACTGTAGGTGCACACTCTTCCTTTTTGAGATACAGGGCCAGCTTTCTTCCTTGAAAATGGTCTCGCGCACTAAATGAGACTGCCAGGGCTGCTAAGACAGAGCACCACATACTGGGGCCTATAGAAATTGTCTGAGTTCTGGAGCAAGGCCAAAGGCCCTCTGGAAGGGAGCAGGTAGGGAAGTAAACATCTTTTGTTAGCCCAACTAGACTTCTGGACTGACAGTTGAAATGCCCCTTTTCTAGTCTCTCGCTTATATTGTGTTCATCATTTCCTAAATATTTTGAAAGCTAAACTTTCATAGTATGTCCCATCAAACACACTGTAAAAACTCCAGGATTTTGTATAAAAGTTTAAATGACTAAGGTGCTTTATTTAGAATTGTTTGGTACTGTAAAAAAAAAAAACTGAAAGGTACCACGCAGAACGAATATTTGTACGTGGGAGGTGAGGTTTCTTTGCAATTATTTTGCTTCAATTGAAATACATAACATTTTATTAGCTTCAAGTACACAATAAATTATTCTGTATTGAAAAATAGCACGCAATAAGAAGTATAGTTAACATTCCTTCTGAAGCAGGCAGATGGAGAAAGGGGTCCCACTCACCCCCATGGCAATGAGTTCTTGGGAGTAATAAAACCAACTAGCCCTAAGTTTTCTACGACTCGCCTTTTGAAATAGAAACTAAGGTGTGACAAGACCTGTTTTTTTTAACTACCAGAACAAACCCAGAGAAGGTTGGACCCCCCACTCCTAGAGAAGCTCCAGGAGGAATAAAGACCATGAAAGGAATGTCAGTATGATCAGTTCTGCTCCCAACTCAACCCCTTGGCTTAAGTAGAAAGCCCCAGTTTAGAGCATCTTGGGGAAAACCATATAAAAGACAATTTGGAACAAAAGTCATGTGCATGTGCTTACCAAGCACATATGTATTCCATGCATGTGTTGCAGCATGGTGCCCAAGCACACATCACCCGTCACCCATATCTCCCCTCTTGAGATGTGAACTTTCATACTTAACAGCTGTGATGTGTTCTGAGGCACTCTCCGCTCTGGAGAAGCCTGTATTCTCTCATTCTCTCTTGAACCCTTTTCTCTCTCTCTCTCTCTCTCTCTCTCTCTCTCTCTCTCTCTCTCTCTCTCTCTCTCTCTCTCTCTCTCCCCCTCTATATCCCTCCCTTCCTCAAAACTTCCAAATAAAAGCTGTTTCAACTTCAATGCCTGTTTCCTACTGAAATTTTCTTTTTCTATAAGAGAAAGACAATGGACCTATGAGGCCAGGGTAAGGTCTGCTGTTGTAAGGTCTAGTGCTAACCCTAAGTGTTTTAGGTTTGATCCTCAGCACTATGTGATCACAAAGTACTGTGTACTGTTACCAAAAACCCAGAAAGAATAGAAAAACTGTTATAACTTTAGATATGCAATTTTATTAACTACAATGGACCAGTACATTCTTAAAGTCCCTATCTACTAGAAAATCTATGTCTGTGAGTGCCAATGTATAAAGACTATGCTTTGTGACTTGAGGTCCCAGAGTTCTTTAACCCTGACACAGGTTACCCCGTGAAGCACAGTACTGTTGAACTCATAATGACATCCTAAGGCTGCAAGGCAAGAGCAACCTTGAAGTGCTGTTGCCTCTCCCCATGTTTGTGCACAAGTGCTTCAGGGCACTTTCAGTCTTGAAGACCTCCAAGGCAGTATAGACTTGGTTCATGACTGAGCACACACACACACACACACACATACACACACGCATGCATGGGTCCAAAATCATGCTCTGCTGCTCAGCCCCAAACCCTGAGGCAGTCACAATCTTGCAACCCAGGTATTCCCATCGGCCTATTCCAATACGGCAAAGATCTTTGACTTCAAGCCTTAGTCACTGTTCAGGCCTGCTCAAATGTAGTGCACAGGTGTATTTCGACACCTTGATTTTGAATACTGGGTTGCCCTATGTTGAAAAATCATGATTCCCCATAAAAACTTGTCCTGAGCAACATCTTTGGTCCTACCAATCTCAGACCAACACTGATGAGCTAGACATCTCAGAAGTTCCAACTGGGCTCCCTGAACACTGCTGAAAATTTATTTCTCACCCCACCCCACCCCATCTCTCACCCATCAAAAAAAAATACAGGGCTAAGGAAATAGCATAGGGATTAGAGCACATACAAAGTATGAAGCCAACCCAGCTTGTTATCTGATACCACAAAGCATTGCCACAGACAAATCTGGAGGCCACTGAGCACCACTGGAGTGGCCTGAAAAAGCATCAGATCCTCAGACTCTAACATGGAACCACCAGTCCAATTGGCTAAATATTGCCAGAAGAGAACCCTAGGCCTGTGATCACGATTTGGGAGCCCTATCCAAAAACTTATGGAATAGCCACATTTTAGTTGTATAACAAGATGCTACCCAAGGCTGGAGAGATAGCACAGCAATTTGCCTTGCATGCAGTGGATGCAGGTTCAATTCCCAGCATCCCATATGGCTCCCCAAGCACCAGTATTCATGGCTCTGCACTGATTCCTGAGTGCAGAGCCAGGAATAACACCTGAGTATCACCAGGTGTGACCAAAAAAGAAAAAAAAATGCTACCCAGGTCTGCTTGACCTTTGCACTATAGTTGCTGCTAGTCAATAGCAAATTCAAACACCCTAGTAGATGTAAAAATCTGTTCCCTTTTACAGCTGTCGTGCATTCATGAGCACCACCTCCATACCAACCATCTAGGTCCTCTGTACTTAAACAGCATAGCCACCACCAGACTCCAACAACACTGACCCCAGGGGTGCAGTCCAGGATTAATGGACTTTGTGTTATAGCTTAATGCAAGGGATCAGCTGGATGACAAGACCAAACTCAGAATGCAGTGGGCCTCTAGAATTTATGGTCATGAACCTTTGATTGACACCAAGCCATGGTCAAGCACATGTCCTCAATTCTAACTATCACATAGCACCTGTCAGGAAGAAAGGAAGACCTCATTTGCATCAAATGACTAATGCAAATGTTTTCTCAAACATACGGTAAGGATCAAGGAATATGAGAGCTCTCTAAACTCTCAGATGTAAGCAACAACACTAACTGAAGAGTGTATCTGTGATAAGGTAAAGAAAACCATCAAAAAAGAACAGAAAGCAAGGCTTGCACAGAATTAACAATAGGATACCTTCCCCCATTTCCCTGTGCTTCTGGTAGCTTGGTAGTCATGCCCAGGAAATGCCCCTGGTACCATCTAAGCTAATTAAATGCTATGATCCAGGGACGCACAAATAAACCTCTCAAAAGAGAGCAAAACAGAACAATATGCCATAAAGATGCCTCCAGACCCTGCACCAGTCTGTCTCATCAGCATAATCCAGAGGGAGGCGGGTGAGTTCCCCTCCCTGCCCTCCCCAACTGAGCCCTAGCAGCCAAAACCCTCCAGAATCCAAGCACTGCCATGCTCAAGACCACTCTCAGTGGGCTCAAACAACTTCATCCATGAGTTAATTTGCTGAAAACCCAGGTATGTGAGTCTTGAGACCGAAATCTTTAGGCTCTCACAAAGTCAGGAGTAGGCAACCTCCCACCACCTCTCTGTGCTTCCAGTAGTCTGGCAGTCATTCCCAGGTACTTCCTCTGATGCCATCTAAACTCATCAATGGCCATTCTCCAGAGACCCACAAATAAAGCTCTCAGAAGAGAACAATACAGAATGATATACTGCAGAGATGCTCCCAGAACCCAAAGTCACTAACCAGTTAAAAAATTTAAATTTAACTTCAGCTGTATAATAATATCTAAAATTTTAGAATTCCTGGACTGTGTGGCCACGACATTTTATATGTTGATAATCTTTTATACAAGAGCTTACTGGCTCCAGGGTGAAATACAACACTCATCACATACTTTAAGGAAAGTTCTTTGGATCAGTTTTAGCGACTTATTCAAAACAAGCAATACAAAATTAAATTATTTAGGTGCTACTTTGGGGCCAGGTTTTTGGGGCAAGATGGAAATACTCAGAATATGGTGGTGGGTAGGTATAATGGTGG